GCACGGGTTTATTTCTTGTCTTATGACTGGTTGCTTTTCCCAATTGCCTTTGAGTCCGATGTTATTTTATGGCGTGGTACATCTGCCTCATATTTCAAACACGCCTCCCTGCAATGTCAAAGTCTTGCCAAATGGGCTGTTAGCTGTGTAAGTCTGCTGTAGACCATGGAGTGCAAGATACCAGGTGTTGGAAGGCCAACTGTCCTCCCTGCCTAACCCCATGTGACAGGTACTACTGATGGTGGGAAAAGGAGCCTTCATCTGCATTCCTGAGTAGGAATGGAGCCCCTCCAGCATGTTGGGAATAATACAGTAGACATCCTTTTGCAGTTGTACACTTACACAGAATATTCTTGTAGGAGACACTGACTTCAAGATGTCTTTTGGTAGCTTAGTGTCTCTCTTGGTCATGGAAATCGTACAGTGAGCACTATACTCACTAAAAATACTATTACCCAGTGAAGTAAGGGATTAAGAGAAGAAAAATGCACTTCTGAAGAAGGTTCTGACCTTACTAATTTTTTATTCTTGGCTCAGTAGCTGAGGACAGAAATGTTCTCCAGAGGCAAGGAATCACTAGGTTGTTCCTTGTTTTTTCAGCATTTCTCCCTCCTGGGAGGGAAGATCATTAGAAATGGGATAGTTTCTTAGGTTACCAGTCTGAGTTCCCAAATTTAAAGCTTTTTTTTGTAGTAATAACTCTTAAGTTTGGTTTATTTATACTGGGTCTTCCATACTTCCATAGCGCGTTCTGGAGAGAGGTTCCGGCCCTCATACTCTGAAGAAGTGCAGTTCATGTGAGGCCATAGGATTGCATCAATCTCAGAAAACTCATCAAGAGGAGGAGATCTGTGTCCCTAGAGCTTGCAGTTAAAAACTGGATTCTGCAAGTTTGCAGCATGTGTGTGTGTGTGTGCGCTGAGTTTGCTCTGCTTTCTTAGATCCCGTGCAGGTGTGTGAATACTGGCTGCTCATGACCTTGGAAAGTCAAGCCTTCAGGCAGTAACAGACAGTACTGAAAGAGAAAAAGAGGAAGGAAATAATGATTTGACAGTCTGACAGCAACACATCCGCTTTGGGTTTGTGTGGGGCTGAGATGATCTGTGCATGCTGGTTGTTAGAAATGTGTATGTGTTTGGATGTGCATGGAGCTATATTAAATGTGCATATATTTGACCAAAACCGCAACACTATAATAGATAAGTATTATGTATATTATGCATGTTTAAGGACATAGATGATTTTAAGAAGAAAACGTTTGGCAGCGGTTCAAAAAAAAAGGTGGTAGTGAAATACCTCTGATCTGGACGCAGCTGTTACAGCGGTATGTGGCTGCTCGCCAGCTCCTTGTAAGTGCTATTGTGAAGTGTTTTGTTGAGCCTGCACAAAGTGGGAGACTCTTCCATGCCCTCTGAGCTGGAAAAGAAAAGAGCCTTGAAGCCTCTGGTGTGAGGACGATACTTCAAGTTAATTTTCTGTGTAAGGCATCAGCTGCCGAGAATCTAAATTTTTGCAGATAAACCCCACTAAAGGGAGGAGAAAACAGAAGATGGCTGAACTGCTTGAGTGCCCCTCAGTTCTGCTTTGCTACTCCTGCTCACTTTTTTTCTAAACAAAGCCAGAAAAAGATACAAAGGGATTTATGAAGTTAGGCATCCTGTACAAAAATTCAGTGTCTCAGATTCTCCAACTGAGGAGCAGAAAATTTGTATTAGAAATCCTTTCCGCTTTGGCTACGTCTATATTGCTACCAGAAACTTTAAGTCTCTAAATCCAGCATTGGCACCATAACTGCACTGATGTAGAGCTCAGAAAAACCTCTCTGGAAAGCTACATGAGCAGCCAGCCTGCATCAAGCTGCCGTGGTCATGGCCAGCTTGCTGGTGGTACCCCGGCCAGCTGGGTTCAAGTTTGCTCTGGTGACTCAGTGAGAGCTGTGGTCTTCACTCACAAGTCCATCTATTCTCACCCAAGGAGGTCTTTCACCAGTTTACTTTTCCCAAAGAAACACTGCCAACTGCCTTATACAGGAGATTTTTATAACCTTGAATATTTAATAAGAAGAGATGATTTCTAAATTTTTCAGGCTGAATCTGGGTGATCTCCTCAGTAATGCGCTCTTGGATCTGATTTGCATTTTACAGTCTTGTCACACGAAGTCGTTCCATCTTTTTGATGTGTGCTCCAGGTTTGTCTCTGCAAATATAAATGTGCATGAACACTCCTACACAGAGAGTCCCTCCTTTGTAGGCGTTAAAGGTCAGTTGTAAATGTTCTGCAGGAGCATGGCTGCATTAAGGGCCGCTCCAGCATGAACAGCTTGGTCTGTGTTTAAAAACTGGCAACTAGAGCTTTAGCAGAAGAAAATAACTTGTTCCTGGATATCTTCTGGTGAAAGAAACTGCTCAAAGTCACCTCATTTGTTTCACATTTCATTAGAATTGTTCTTTCATAGCCCTTGGCGCCATTATCAGTTATTCTGGATAAATGATGTCCCACATCTCTTCCAACTTACCTACCACCCCAAAAGATGAGTCCCACTTTTGTTCTACTTTATATTCAGTGGGATTTTTTTTTTTCTTCTCTGGCTGGGTATTCTGTGATTTATAAAAACATAGAGCCCTGGAGCAGGCCAGCATCTCTTAGAGACTCATGTCTCTAAATTTTTGCAGACCCACTTCAGATACCAGTCAACTGCAATCCTTTTTTCCATGGGTATTTGCAAACATTAATGAACTAAGTCTCACAGTCAATCCCATATGCTTGAGACATCTTACCCCTTATGTGGCTAGGCAGCTGAGCTACCGATGGATTTAAGTAAAACAGTTGGATGTGTAACCCTGGTTTGCTATCATTGCCACGTGTCTCATCTGCAGAAGGACTCCATCTCTCTTAACCTCTCTGCAGATGGAAAAAGATATTTTGTCCAGCAGCCAAAGGGAAATGCAAGCATCCTGGTGGAAAACAAGCTGTTTCAAAACCCTGGCTGCAAGCTACCCACACATCACAGTTGTCAGCCAGGCTGCACATGCATAGTTACAGGGAATAAAATAGAGAGGACCTTCTGTTCCTATTCAGAAAGGTCTCTACCCATTCACCTACACCAAAGGATCATCATCAGCTGCCAGTATTAATTTGTTCTCCTATGTGGGTTTCCAGCCAAAGGAGGGTAAAATAAGTCTAATTCTATCCAGCAGGAGCACTTGCAATGCAAATGCTAGCCCATATATTACAAAGCATTAATGCGACCCACTTCTAAATTACTTGGGGTAATTTCTGATTTTATTTATTCCTCCTTTTCTTTAATTAACTTCTGGGAAGAGAAGCTGAAATATCAGTACAGGGAAAATAAAATATGAGAAACAAAGCCTATTTTTATTTTGAGACTGTGCTTCCCTTGTAATAGCAGTTTATTTAAAGAGGAGCCTGGAATAATCCAGTTTAAGCAAAGCAAAGAGCTCTACTGAAGCCAAACTGTGTGTGGGTGTGCTCTTGTCAGGGCTCCCAGAAGAGGAGGGCAGGAAAGGCTGTTAGTCAGACCTCAGATATTGCAGGAGATGTTGGTTATTCAGTAGCTGGCGTTTTTCCTTGGAGTGCCAGTACAGAGCCACTACTCTGGTGTACTGGGAGAGGGTGCATCCCATTGGGAAAATCATCAGATAACCTGAGGTCCTGCTCTTTTGTTGTGGTAAAAGGAAATCCCAAGGATGAGGTACCCACTGCCTGGGCCTAGCAGGTGGGTTAGGAACAAGTCTCTGCTCCTCTGCCTCATCTTGTCATTCCACCTTGTGCTGTGTTTGCGGCAGGTCCCAGGCTGGGGTCTGGTGGCGTTGCTTTGTGCCACCTGTGGGGAATTGTGTTGTATGGTGTGGTCCCACCTCATACCATTTGGACCCGGGCTTGAAGCCACAACAGTCTTCAGGCATAGCTGCCACAGAGGACCATTCAGTGTGGGTCGTAGCTTATTACAACGTCTGCAGAGAATTACCCACATGCTCAGTTGTCTCTTGATGCTGTGGGCTTCTCAGAGTTCAGAAAGTCAGGCATAAGTACAAATCTTTGCATTATCTCAGCTTACTTTTATAATCTGTTTAAATAATGAGGTTTTTCCCTCAGTATATTGCTCTTTAAAATTTCTATGGCAACAGCATAGCTAAGGATATGTGAAATAAAAGCAATTTAGGCATTGAAGGCAGGTGATTATGTTCCTTAGAAAAAGAATAAAATAAATTGATGATTAGCTCTTGAAACAGCAGGTGGGACTAACAAAGAAGATAAGGTGCAATTCTATTCTGTTTCCACTGGTGGATTTGAATGTGTATGCATCACCTTTCTTTATTATATATACATGGTTTTGATCTTTAATTATTTGTCTTGGAGATAATAAATGATTGTATGTTATTTATAGAAAACTGCATATTCCCAAGTTCTGCACTGTGAAATCCATATCTGTACTGGTTTGCAGTGAGCACCAGAACACTAATGATTAATTATATACAGGAGTATTAATTAAATTCCACATGATCATAAATAAATCAGAACTGAACATAACAATTTTTTTTTTAATTTAAATAATTGTGTAGTTAGAAATTTATTTCCTAGATCTTTGAGAATTACCGTAGACAATAAAGAGGGCATGAAAACTTGGAGCCTGTATAGATATTGATTGGTATGTTCAGGGTATATTTCAGATACTTACCCTCTTCTTCCCCTCTCCAAGGAGAGCCTCCCCTGGCCAATTCTTTCCATCGATTTTGAGTCTGCCTGGTCTGAAACTGAAAATGTTGGTGCTGGTGGGGAAGGTACAAGAACAGCAATCGATTGCAAATACATTTTATGATATTCTGCTTCCATATTTTAAAGGGGAAAATTTATTAATGGCAGCAGGTCTCCGTTTTTCCCTTTTAAACGTATCAATCAAACTGGTAGTGATTTGCAAACTCCTGGACATTTCCATTTTCTGTGACGTGACCCCTTTTGTGTTCTCTCTCTCCCCTCAGACAGTGAAATCATTCCTCCCGATTGCCTGCGGCCCCGCTCCTTCACCGCCATCCGCCGGCCCTCGCTGCGGCGGGAGACGGAGGACACGCGCCTCTCGGTCAGCCTCTGCGACCTCAACCTGCAGGAAGAGACCTTCCACGTGACGGCCACCACTTGCCCCATCCCACAGAACTCCCTCAACTCCCAGCACTCCCACCTCCTCCCCTCCCAGCTGGAAAGTGACCTCCGCTTCCACCACCTCCGGGGACCCCACGTCAAAATCCTCGATGACCAAACTGTGGCCCGTCTGGAGCACGCCCGGGAGGAGAGGACTTTGGTTTTCACCAGCAGACCCCTTCGGATCAACGAAACCATTTTTGTCAAAATCAACAAGTCCAACGCTGTGCGCACAGGGACGTTGTCCTATGGGGTGACGTCCTGCGACCCCAGCACCTTGCGCCCCAGCGACCTCCCCTATAACCCTGAGTCCTTGGTCGACCGAAAGGAGTTCTGGGCCATCTGCCGAGTCGTGGTGCCCCTCCAGAGCGGAGACATCTTGGGTTTTATGGTGAATTCAGATGGTGAGCTGCACTTGAGTCACAACGGTGCCGGCACTGGTATGCAGGTCTGCGTGGACTGTTCCCAGCCCCTCTGGATGTTCTTCGTTTTACACGGCGCAGTGACGCAAATTCGATTGTTGGGTATGTCAGACCCCCTTTTTCCAAACCTCACACGCCAGACAGCAAGGGGGAGATACATCGCAGGGGAAGGGTGGAGGGAATGAATGACTCCCTCCTTGCTCTAGGATCAGGTGCAAATTTTGTTTTTATAAAAGGAGAAAAATAATAGCCCACAAAGTCACGTATGTAGCACATGGATATGAATTACAAGACTTACTTCTTTGCACTTCTCTAGCATCTCAAAGCTCTTTTCAGATAATGAATTAAGCCTTAGAGACCTCCATTAAAGTACAGATGAGTCACCACTGACCTAGAAGCAAGGAGGGGGGGAGGAGAGGTGCTTTGGGCTGAGCTAATGTAGGGCACAGCCAGCAGGAAAAATGATTCCCTTTTCTGTGTGTTAGTTATCTGGCATGACCGTGTGCCAAAAAGAGCGGTCCCCTTGCTTTCCCCAGGCTCGTATGTGAGAGGCAGGCTTGCAAGCAGTGAGGAGGCCCTGTTCCTCACGATCCTGGTGGTGCCCAGAGCATGGCACTGACCAGCTCAACAGGAGAAGGGTTTCCTTGTCCTCCAGCCCTGTTTAAGGTAGTGTAGCTCATACAGGCTGATGGACCTCTGAAGAGCTGGCCTCTTTCTCTTGATGTTTTTGTTTTGTTTTTAAGCTCTGTTAACTGAAGTACTTCATTTAAATGCTGAAAGTCATATTTTGAAGGTGCGGAGGGAAAAGCCTTGAAATAGCATTTGCTCAGGATCAAATTTACTTTTTTGTTTGTGTGTATATTGGACACAAGTGTAGGTTTTGTTTGGCTGTGAATTTGGACCGTGTCATTGTTCTGCCGGTGTTAGTGTCAGAAAGTAAATGATGGATTCTGAGAACGTGATGTAATTCCTGGTATTCCTCTAACTGGAGATGGCTTAAAAATGCTCCTTTCTTGTTTATACTGCTATATTCATATAACTTCAAATATACTTATATTCCTTTTTGCTTCAAATCCTCACTATTAAAATGTCCCTCTTATCCAACGGGAAAAAAACCTAAATCCAAAAGCCAACCAACACCTCTTTTTTTAGGATTTATAGACAGTATTTGAAGATAAATTGTGGTGAACATACATATCTGTCTGCAGGGTCCAGTTCACCTTAATCACAGTATGAAGTGCCCTATATAATTTGCTTAAAGTTGACCATAGGTCTATGCTGTGAGTGGTTTTTGGCTGTTAAAGGCTCACAGATGACAAATGTAATACTGCAATTTATTTCCAGGAGCCCAAGACTCAATCCCTGATAATTCAGCTTGATTACATTTGTTGTGGGTACTGTACATAATCCATGGCTAGCTCTGCTCTCCACCAACATGTCATTGTGATAATGGTAGGTGAAGTCAAACAGATCCCAGTAAAGTAGGAGATTAAATGGTCCTGTATACATTAGGAGGAAAACATCCTCAGGTCATTGAGCTGCTGGTGAAACTAAGTCATCAACCAGTGCTTCCTTTCATATGAGGTCACTGATTCTGGCAGTTTTGCACAGAGCGAATAGCCTGCTTGCAATGTGTCCTGAAACAGGGCAGCGAGGATGTGTCTCACCAGAGGGACAGAATCATGTCCTCATACAGAATTCAACAGAGCGTGGAACGCAGGCCTCCTGCATCCTGCGCAAACCTCCTGCTGCGCACACCCTGTATGTGTCCTCCCTACCTGCTCACAAGTTCAGCCGAAACCAGTACACTCCCAGTGCGTGTTGTAGATAAATCTGTGTTTAGATACATGAAGTGTAGTCTGCTGAGTTGGAAAACTCCTCACTACCTGCATTTGTGACCACATAACAGACTTTTCTAGCCTTGGTCAGTGGAGGAGAAGCTGAAAACATGCTATTGTTCTTAAATGAGATGTAGGTGAAAAAAACCAGACTTGCTGCCCTTGCCTCTCTCAAGGAAAGGGTAGGGCCCTGCTGAGTGTACAGCTTCATCCACGTCAGCTCGGGCAGTTAAAAGCTATGAAATTGGAGCTGGCCTATAATCTTTAACAGGTATTAAAATACAAATAGAGCTTTTCAGACCTATGTTTCCAGTATAACAATGCAGGGAGCAATACAGTCCCAGTATCAGTACAGCGCAGCTGACCAGAGAAGAGCACTGATGCTGTCCCAACACTGCACATCTCTGCAACTGCAGTAATTATGTGGATCAGCAATATGCCGACAGAAGGCAAAGAAAATAATGAACTCCCATCTCTAGCTTTTGCAATGTTATTACGGAGGTGATATTTGCACTGCAGTGGAACAGATTATGGTGCTTGCCATAATATCTGTCATTATAATATTAGAAAATGTAAGAAGAATATAAAGTGTTCATTTTTCTAATGACAAGCTCCGTCTTCAGAATGCAAACAAGAGCAATTTTGTGTGATCTATCTTTTGTAGTTTGAGTTTTATATCACAGGAGAAGACATGTTTATAGTAATCTTTTTCTAGTTTTAATGGAAAAAGTGAAGTTCCATATCCTTGAAAGAAATGAGGCACAAATACTGCAAGAGGCATAATTGTACCAAACCTATCTTAAATAGCAGATGTCATTCTATTTCTGGGGGCATACCATTATTAGATTAATCAAAGCAATGTTACGCAACGTTAAAAGAACATCAGCACTACAGCTGACTATAAAATGAAATTAAAGTTTCTAGGTTTGCTTCTTCTCCAGCTTTTCTGTTTCGTTTGGAGGATGGAGAAGGTGGAGAGCAGCAATGCCACTCTTGCACCGAGAGGAGGTTTATTTTTGACTCAGATAGCAAGATAGCTCAGGGTATTGATCACTGGATACTGTATTTCGTGCCTTGAGATTAGTTATTTGGTCCTGACCCAGAGCAGGACCAAGCTTAGGTCTTCCCTGGCTTGTGGCTTTACCATAGAACCTGACATTTGCTGACTGCAGTTATTCCACAGTGTTGGAGATACAACATTTATTTTCTAATCTAAATATCAGCAGAGACCACCACTACCCAGGTTGATGGTCTTACAAAGCTCTGTAAAAGAGGAAGGGAGTGTGGGGTTGGTTTGATGGTAAAGAATTCTGACTTCTGTTTCCATCTTGTCAATCTGACGTCATATACTGGCAATATATTTGCTGTAGGAGACATAAAATAGCAGAAAATAAAGATGAGGTTAGAAACACTATTTTTCTTTATGTCACCCCAGCAAAAGGAAAATAAATGAAACCAAAGCACCTATAGCCTGTAGAGGCCACAGTCGCCTATAGAGGCCACAGTCATCTGTAGTGGGAGGTAGAAGGATGTCAATTTGTTGCAAAGAAAAGGTTAAAAGGCAGCTTGACCACATGGAGGGAAGATAAATGAAAGAGGAGGGCACTTTAATGTAGCAGATAATAGCATAAAAAATATCAAGCTGCTGGAAAATGAAGGGACACAAATTTAAATTAAACATAACTGAGGGTAATTAACTACAGGAACCAGCTATTGAGGGAGGCAATAGATCTTTTTGTCAGGATTGGAAGCCTTTCTAAATATTTTATATGTAAAGTGCTGGTCTGAATTCAGAAATTCTGTGGGTTATGCACATAGGGCAACCAAACACAAACCCAGATCATTAGGCGTGTAGAAATGAAACAGTCTTTGCATATCCTTTAGGAATTCCATTAGTTCAGGCTCGGGTTGGTTTTTTTCAGGCATCATTCCTGTATAGTTGACAAAACCAGCCTATTAAATTTGATTTACTGCTTTCAGCTTTTGCTGGTAAGCATTTCGGCTCACACACAGTTTTATTGACAGCTCTGAAAGGTTGAAATTGGTCTGGTTTTGGTCTGGTTTTGGTGGTGTAATTCATTTATGAATTTGAATTGATCGACCCCATAAGGTTTTAAAATGTATGACTCATGTCTGGAGGAACTATCACAGCAATAAATTTATATATTTAGTATTTGGGGATCCAAATGGTTGGGGGATATTCTTTCATTTTCTTTTGTCTCGGAGTGAATCACCAGCAAGTAAAACATCTTCCTTCATCTCCTTTATTTTGTTTTTTTGGTGTGGTTTCCCTTGTGAATTTCATCCCTTCCAGTAATATTGAAGTTTTCTTTTGAGCAATGAAATAACATGTTCCATCAACAGTCATACTAATGAAGCTGAGTTGCCAACTTATCTGCGTCCTTTCTATCCATGCACTCGAATTACTCCAGCCCCACCAGAACAGCTGCACAATATTGCAGCTCTCTGGATGTCTCCTGATGCTGGCCAAGAGCCAGCGTAGGCCTGAAAAAAACAACCCAAGAGCCAGCGTTTGGTGTGGGTAAGTCTGCATTCACATCCATGATGGATAAATGCAGAGTGTGTGTGGGCTGAGCTCTCCTGTCTCCTTTACCATGAACGCTGAGTTGGGGCTCCTACTTAGCTGCCCATTGCAAGATATTTAGAAATCAGTTCTTGCTGAGGGTTCCATCCTTCATCGAGACTCTCTTGAAATTGGTCAAAAGGCTCAAAACTGGGGAGGTGAGGAAGGAACAGCTGGCTAGTTGCTCCCTGACTGTCCCAGGACTCCAGCATCCCATGGCAGAGCACCTGTCTCTTCCAAAAAAGTTCTCCACTCTGGATGCAGTTATATACTTACTTTGCACGTACAATTAACTGCAGCAAGCGTGCAAAATATTAAATGATCATGGGTGTGTACAGTTGTTATACACACTGCCCATGGTGCAGACAGCAGGTACAGTTTGTAGAAAAGTCTCTCCCAAAGGCAGGGAGATTCTGGGATTTTGGTTCTCCAGCTGTAAATTTATAAGCTTCTCCTATTTGAGAGAAGCTGGTTAGTTTGCAGTAGTAAATCACACACCCTCATCTCTGATCTCAGATGTGGCCAGTAGGTTACCCATTTGGGAACTTGATCCTTCTCCGCCTTGGTTCATTCCAGTGATACGGAAATTGCTGAGTTGAATAGAGCACAAGAGAAACCTGATAAATGCATAACATTGTTGCACAGAAATGCTTATAATGGATTGCTTCCTTTAACAGGCG